TTTTACATATTATTAAAATATTTTTATTTTTTATAGAAACAAATTACTCAATATATCATTTAAATAATTATGATTAAAAGTTATAAAGGTTTAAATCTAGAGATATATAATAACTTTGTTTACAGGCTTGATAAAAAGGTGCCTCCTACCTACTACTATAGGTGCGTAGAGAGAGATACTCACAAGTGTATGGCCAGGCTCACATGCCGAAATAATGAAAAAATTCCAAATAAATTCGATCACGAAAAATTTATAACGAAATTAAGCATAAAGCGAAAACAACTATCGATACTCCCAGTATGATTATCTCGGAGATATCGGCAAATCTAGATGAATCCATCGCAATGAAGATTCCTAACTCCAGCCTTATTAAAAGGATAATACACTGTACAAGACTCTCACAATCATCCACCACCGTGCCCAACTTCTTGGGCCGAATTAATTTTACCCTACGAATATACTATTACCGAGAAAGGCGAGAATTTTATCATTCATGATGATGAGGTAAAATTGAACAATTTGTTTAATTTTATATATTTCAACTGAAAATCAAAATTTGGTAAATTGCAAGTAATTATTTTAAAATATAAATTAAGATAAACGAGCGACTTTTAATATACTCCACTGATGGAAATCTTGAATTTCTCTCCTCATGTGCGATGTGGTTCGCCGATGGTACTTTTAAATGTACACCTCCTCTTTTTCATCAACTTTATATGCTTCACGGAGTAAAAAATAAAACGGTTTTCCCTCTAGTTTACATATTGATGACCGGTAAAAGGAGTGCGGATTACAAGCGAGTTTTTGAAATTATTCGATCATATGTAACAATCTCTCCTGATTTTATAATGACCGATTTTGAGTTATCGGAAATCAATGCATTCAAATCGGTCTTCCCGTTAACGAAACAAAGAGGATGTTTATTTCATTTTGGTCAAAGTTTTTGGAGAAAAATACAAAGGTTTCCAGAAATATCAATGCAATATAAAACCAATACACAATTTTGTTTATTTTTAAAAATGATGGTATGTTTGGCCTATGTGCCAGAAACAGATGTTACAATGGCTTTTGAGACATTAATAATGTCTCCGTTTTATCAAGAAAATGTTATTTTACAGCCGATTATTGATTATTTTGAAAACACATATATAGGGAAATCTTATGGGAGGGAAAGATTAATCCCAATTTTTCCCATTCCCTTATGGAATTGCTATACACTTAATGGCGACGCTAATACAAATAATTCTGTGGAGGGATGGCACAGGAGTTTTAATTCATTGCTGACTTCCTATCATCCTACAATATGGAGATTTATAACAGGTATAATATTAAATTTTCAGGTAAAAAATTTAAGAAAAAAATTCTAGAATAATTTAGTTTTTTTAAATTAAAAAAGGAAAATTGATTATACATTGAATATTTATATCATTTTAAGGACTTAAAAAGCAACAAAGTTTAACTGAGTTAAAAATTGTCCAACTACAAGGAGGTGATGATGAAGCTTCCCCAAGAAAAAAATACCGGAATCTCTCAGAAAGACTAAAAAGAAGAGTATCGGATTACAGAAATCGCGATATTTTATCGTACTTGAAGGGCCTAGCATCCAATATTAATTTAAATAATTTTACAATAATGTATTCAATTATAATAAAAAAATAAAATAGCAAATATATATTTTTATATTATTTTTTATTTTTTAGTAAAAATATAAAACTATATAAGCAGATAGCAGATTGTAATTGTATTCTCATATTATTATTATTAGATTTTTGTTTAATAATATATGAAGAGTTTTATAAATAAAATTAAATTCTATATATAAATTGAAACGCGAAAGTGAGATTTAAAAAAATTACTAATCAAAAATATTAAGGGTTGTAAACATTAATAAATTTTAATATAACGAGTTAGATTTCAGGCACTAGTATTGATCCCAAGTTCAGTTAGGGTTCCAGAATTTAAAAAAAATTAAATTATTATTTTAACAAAATATGAGTTAATAAACAAGTCATGTAATCTATTTATAAATCTTATTTCGTAGTATCATCAATTAACTTATATAAATCTTTAAAAAAATTGAAAAAAAATTATTGCACCTTTCATCTTTTTAAAGTAAGGTGCCAGAAGTAAATTATAGTTTGGTAATAACTTTATTTTTATCCAATTCCAAAAATGTCTAAAGATTTAATAGAAAAATATTATTTCAGCCGCTGGGTTATTTTTAAAAGGATAGCTTTATCAACGCCAAAAAAATTATACTTCTATTTAGCTATTTTTTACAGTACTGACAAAATTGAATTTAACATATTTCAATGTCATAATTAGTAATAAAATAAATAATATAAATGTCGTAAATTAATATACCGTGTTCTTCGGTCTGCATTTTTTAGCTCTGATTATTTAAAGCCCTGCCCTAAATTTTCAAATTTCATTATTTTGAATATTTTCTCTGTATTTTATAAATTGTTTTATACGGAATTTAAGATAAGTAAATAATATTAAAGCATAATTAAAATGTTTTTCACTATAATATTAAACGGCATAAAAATATGGATTTGTGGTATTCTGTCTCTCTTAAAGTTGAAATTGTTTTAAACCGTATCATGAATAATAAACCAATTTGCACAGTGAGATTTAGAAATAATTAAATAGACAGAATATGAAATTAAAAAATCTTCTTTTCCCATTTCAGAAAGTCTCATAATCATTATGTTTAAAAATATTTATTGTAGATTCCCTTTCAGGCAGAATAATATGATTTGAAAATAACTTACAAAATATTAAATTTGAACTAAATTCACATATCATCTCTATTGAAACCAACAAAATATATAATTAAATATATTTTTTATCATTTTAAGATTTATATTTGAAACAGAAGTTGGCATTTATTATTTTTAAATTTAACAATGTTTAAATTTAAAAAAGATTTTATGTTTTAAAGCTATAAAATTAATAATTTTGACGATTACAAAAGATTTAATAAGATAGAGGTCTCAATCCAATGTTCCTCTTCATCTAATCTTATTTAAAAAATTTTAAAAATTATCAAGGTATTTTTTTAACGCTGGAACGGGATAATCATATCAGTAACTAGGGGCTAGTAGAATTAGGTCGAATTAATTATATCATGCTTAAAAATATGATATAATAAGTATTCATTGACTATTATAGCTTTAAATTCTATTTTTATTCCCTTTAACTTTCACCTTTTCTGGTGGTTGATAATCAAAAGAATTAGAAAAAAATTAAAAAATTCATTAAAACTTAAACATTTTTTAAAATAAAATATCAGATTTTGAAATTTTTTATGAATTATTTATATACAAATGGTGTAATTATTGATAATAACAATTATCCTATAGGAGACTTAATAAACCAATATAATCTACAAGCCTGGAGTTTGGGGCTTGTTGGGGCAAAAATTAACTTTTACTAGAATCAATCTTAAAATATAAAATATTTATTAATAGGGTCTTTTGTAAAAAACGACTTAATCTAATCGTTAAAAAAATTGAGTATACCAAATTCCACATATTTTTTAATAAAATACGAATTTCATAAATAACAAGTGACGTGTTTTAGAGGTAAATAATTTTAAAACGCTACTTTAAATAAATATAGACAATTAAGCTGGTTTTCTGGTTTTTTGGAACTTAATAAATGGGTTAAATATAATTTGTCAAATATATATCACTATTGCATTGTGATAATGTTAGTTGTAATGCATTCGCGATATTGCATTAGCTATGATGCATTCGCGATAATGCATTCGCTGTAATGTATTCGCTCTAATACATTCGCTATGATACATTCGCTGTAATGCATTCGCTATGTTTTCGCGGTAATGCATTCGCTATGTTTTCGCGGTAATGCATTCGCTATGATGCATTCGCGGTATTACATTCGCTGTAATGCATTCGCTATAATGTTTTCGCGGTAATGCATTCGCGCTAATATATTCGCTATAATACATTCGCTATGATGCATTCGCGATAATGCATTCGCGGTATTACATTCGCTGTAATGCATTCGCGCAAATATATTCGCTATGATACATTCGCGGTAATGCATTCGCTATAATATCTTTTCGCGGTAATCGACATTCGCGATAATGCATTCGCGATAATACATATCGCGGTAAAAGTTTCGCGGTATTGACGTGATACGCAGCAATTTACCTGTCACAATTTTCCGGCTTACGGCGAATTAGTCATAAACTTTCAACAAATCATCTCCGAAGAGATATCCTAGGTAGGTTTTAGCAATTTTTTTTCCAATTCGGAGGTAATTTATCGAATTTTTTATGCATATATTTAAATAAAATGCAAGCGGCAAGACATTCAGACACTTATATTAATTAATCACCATTTAATCGTTAATATAAAAAAATCTTTATCTAAAGATTAAATGGCGTCTGAATGTCTTGCCGCGTGCAAGTTTTTTCTAAAAAATTGATTCGCCAAATTAATATCCTATTTTGTTTGAAATAATAAACAATTTCTGAAAAAGTTGCCTAGATTGGAAATTAATTGCCTTATCCGTTTTTATACATAAGGCTAATTAACCTAGTCACTAAAAATTTAGTTAAACTAAGCCATTTACTAATTTAGTTAAAACACACTGCTATGGTAATATTGTTAAAGATCGCCATATCTTTCTTCTATAAAAATTAAAATATAAAATATTTGTTAATTTTAAAAACACTCATATTTTGTGTTTGGCGGGAATAGGCAAATGCTAAGCCTGGGATCAGGTAAGTAATGTTTTAAAATATTTGCTTAAACCAATTTGATATTAGACTAGGAGCCTCCCGCGATGAAATAAAACATATTCTCATATTGCTGCCTGCAATTTAAATGATATATTTTTCATATATTAACTTTTTCGATGTTTTTCATTCTTTTTAAAAATCTAAAATTGCACTAATGAGCAAAATGAACTAATGAATTTTAAAAAATATTATAAAAATAATTCCTGAATATATATAATATTAAAACTGTGAATTTTGAATGTTATTTGAATCTAAATCCCAAACAAATATTTTTCCGGTGCAATTGCCAAGAGCTAAATACTATACAATAATTTTAAAATCAAAAAAATATCTATAAAAAATGAATTACTTTTTGAGATGGATCTTCATTCATCCTTATAAACCATAAATCACAATCACTTACAGGTATATCAAATAATTTATTGGCCTTGATATGAGGAGCAAGTTGTAAAGATTGTAGGCCATAATCACTTTTATGGTAATCGAGGCATATATTATTACTATACCGATTTGGATATTTTTTAACATTATCAATACTAGTTTGGTTGACGTTTTCTATAACACCGAATTTCCAACAAGTTATGATATTTTCACAAGACTATAATAGTCAAAAGTATATTTTAAATGAATAATAAAAATAACTTTAGAAAAAATAACATTTCCATGCCATAAGGAAGAATCCACATAATTTTTATGAATATCTCTTGTTGTGAGTATTGGAAAATGACTTAAAAGAGTTGGAAACGATATTTTGGCTCTAATTTTTATAAAGAAATTTTATTTTAAAATTTATTTGATTTAAATATAAAAGAGGCTAAAAATAATTTTGTAATATACAAAAACAGGAATATAGTATTACAAAATTTAAAAATTCTATATAATATATAAATTGTTAAAAAAAATTATTCAATATAAGAAAAATTATTCCCTAATGAAACGTCTAATTGAATCATATTGTGACCGAGTTGTTTGGGACTTCGGAACTAACATTTTTATCTATAAAACCTTTATATAAATCTTTCATATTTTTAATTTAAAAAAAAAATTTTTCAAATAAAAATTTCAGAAACCGAGGACAGGAATGTTTAAAAGGTAATAAATACGGGCCCTTGAAATTAGAATTTTTAAAAATTCGAACAAGTATACAATTTTGACTTATTCTGATAAATGATAAAATCTTTAATAAAAATGTGATATTAGTTAAAAGATATGTGAGAGGAGTTCAAAGTAGCGCGCTACCTCAATAGAGAAGTAGAACATTAATATTTTTCCAAAATTTTTTAAACAATTAAAATGAAAATAATTAAACGTTGAAATCTCGCGTTGCCACAAAATCAAGAAAATATAAAAAATTATAATATTGTTGATAAAAATTTCCAGTTTCTAAGCAAACATTGTAAGTCAATAGTTTAAAATCGTGAAAGAACTCCAATGTAAGTGCTGCATACTCATAACATTGTTTATGATTATAAATGGACACCAACTTTCTAATTCTTCAGAGAAGCGTAATCGGTTAAAGAATATACTTTTATCGATTTAATTCATGAATCATAATTTTGATTTACTGAGCAATATAATCTGCACTATGACTATTTTCTTATTTAAAACTATAAAATAGTTGAACAGATGTCATCACCATAAAATATATAATATTCTAATTTACAATTTTGCTCCAGATATTTGACTCAATTGATAAATGAGAAGATTTACCCTCTTATATTTGCAACCCTCGTCTCCATACTTTCTGATCTATAAGGTGTCCAGGCAAAAGTCTTCGCGTGTAAGGTGTAAATAGTATGTATTTTTTTTAACAAATACTGTCTTTGCAAACAATTAATCGAGCTCGGTTTTATTTAAAGTTCACTCTATCTATGAAGCATGTTATATAAAATTGGGGTTTTATCGTTTTGCTTATAGATAGATCAGATATTATGGAATAATATTCTCCTGAGGCAGAGGGCAAAATATTGTTGTTAATTTGATAGTTATTCTCACTAATTTCACCCAATTCTTCATCAGAATTAGAAGTATTATAATTTATTCGTGTAATTTTTTGTTGAGGTTATAGAATTCGAGTTCAAATTTAAAATTCCTTAATTATGGCAGAGCACAATTATAACAGCTTAATATAAATTTACCATTCTATCAACATGGGTATTATAGGACATATATCATATTTATTTATATATTAAGATAAAATTAGTGCTGTAAAGTAACGTCAAAAAAGGTAACGAGAAAAGGGAAGTCATTCGTTACCTTCTTCTTCTAGAGGTAACGAGTAACGGTAACGCGTTTCTTTTTTTTTGAGTAAGTTTTTTCTGAAAAAATATTTAAAAAAAAGAAAAACATATTTTATTGTAAGTTTTTTAATTCATATCAACCACCATTCCTTCATTTTTATTTTAAATACTCGTTAAATTTTCAATAGAATGTTAATATAATTAATATTCAATCAAAATTCAAAGTAAATGTTAATAATATTATTATTATTTTATAACTTATTTTAATAATAGATTTACTTCTTCAGATAAAGATGATGCAACCCTTCTCTGGCCCCAATTTGAAACATATTTTACATTAATAGAGAAAATTTAGGGTACAAAGTCTTTAAATTTAAATTATGTCTTAACGCAAACATTTCAACCTCAATGTCCACCAGTTCAAACTTAGAAAAACATATGAAGGTAAAAAGATGAATTAATATATAATTATTTTAAACAATACTTTAATAATAGAATATTAAATCATGGATATTATAAAATAACTATTAAAAGTATTCTTTCATAATATTTTGAAAAGCATAATCAAAAATATAAGCAATTAAATTATACTATAGTATAACATAAAATATTGGTATTGGTTCAAAATATTATATTGGTTTTAAACAATATCTTCTATTTCCTGTTTTAGTATTGCTATAGGTTTAACTACAAATTGTTAATAAATTTAAAGAATAAAATAGTGATTTTAAAAAAAAAGTTATATATATTTTTAAATAGGGGTGTACCGATACCACTTTTTGGAGGCCGATCCGATCCGATATCACATCTAATTTTATATTCTAAATACCAATGGTTTTAATTTTTAATATTCTTTTTTTTAATATAACATCTATAATTTAATTATACCATAACTTATGTCATTTAAATATATTATAATGATCAGTTATAGTTTATACTCAATTCTAAAAGCAAAATATATTTATTGTTAAATCACTTTATAATAGTAATAACATTAATCTATATACATAATAAATATATTATGAAATTGAATAAATATTTATAATATTTAACACAGAGATCTGCAAAGTTAGGCCCGGCCCGTAATTCTATTTAAAATAATCGAGTTCGGGCCAGGCCGGGCCTAATATTTTTTAAAATAATTTGGGCCGGGTCGGACCTTGGAAATTTTTTTAAATATATCTAATTTATCAATTTTATATTTAATTTTTATGTAAAATAAAAATATTTGATTTTATTTATTGAAACTAAACGACATATAACATATGTCTTTAATTTTGAGTAATTATAAATTAATTTCTATATTTAAATAAATTTGGGCCGGGCCGGCAAAACTTTTTTAAAAAAATTTCGGACCGGGCTTGAAAAATTAGGCCCGATGCAGATCACTAATTTAACATTAATATATCGAAGATTTCTTTTTGGAAATACCAAAATTTCCAATTTATCAGAAATCAGCCTGCGGCGATGGTAATTGTCAATATCACCAGCTTCACTAAAAACAAATAGTGTTGTTAAACGGCTCGTTTTGAGTTGATTATTTAAAACGGCTAGCTCAGTATTTTAGACAGAAAAATATTTCCTAAGCCTTGAGATTTCGTTAATATATGTCTAGACCTTTGTTCCTTCTATGAGCAAAATCTTCAGGCTTGTGTGATATTTTTCTGAATGAAATATTGAGTTTGCCATTTTTAAGAATCGGCTCAAAAAGAGCCGTTTAACAAAACTAAAAACAGATTCTGAAGAGATTATCGCACGCTTTTATAAACAGAATGCGCAAAAAAATAACAATATGGCAGATGTTTATTAATTAATTATTATTAAAAAAATATGGATTTCGATTATATTTATAAAAATAAAATAATGTTGTAAACGAACGCGTTCATTGAAGTTCGTTTATTTGAAAAAAATGATGAACGGCGTTCCTTTTATTTTTGACGAACTTTGAAGGTGAATGCGTTCCTTTTTTATGACGAACGCGTTAGAATTTAACGTTCGTTCAATTTTAAAAATATTTTTATTTATTTGAAAAATTTAATATTCCCGAATTTTTTTTAAAAATGTATTATTTATATTTTTTAATCGGCTGTGTATTTCCTTTTCACATTTCAATTTTTTTAACACATAGTTTATTAATCTGAATATTATTGTTTATATTTTAATTTAATAGATTAGCATAAGCATGGATATTATTTTTTAATCCTCATCAACTGATTCTGAAAATCATTACTATGGCCAAATATGATAAATGTTTTACATTTAAATCCTATATTGAAGGAACTAATCCAATGCTTATTAAGTGTAAAATTTGGGCAAAAAGTATTATATTGTCCTGCAATTAAACATCCAGCATTCAAACCTCAATGGCCATGGATAAAACTTCCACAGAACGAACATATTAAAAATAAACTTTCAGCGTTATTGAAAAAAATGCTTTGAAAACCCTAGAGAACTGTTAATTTCGAGATATCCTTTTTTTGTCGAGAGAGAATGGATTGGAGGATAACTTATCTCAATTTTTTGTAAATAACAAAACAATATGTTTTTAATTAATTGTCCACGTTAAAAGAGCTGTTTATTAAGTATAATACCGCAATCCCCTCATCTGCCGCTGTAGCGTGTTTTTAGGCTAATGCCGTATTAACTGCCAAGTGTTTCTGTCTATCAGATAAATATTTTGAAAACAATTGTTATTAAAATTTAATAATAAAAATTTTTTAAAAATAAAAATATCTTTTTATTCGCTATATTATATTATATTTATAATTATATTATATTTATAATTATATTATATTTATAATTATATTATCAAAATAAAACTATATTATATTTTTACATGGCTAAAATATATTGTATTATTAAAAAAAATATCATAAAATTTTGAACGGTTTTATGAACGTGAACACGTTCCTTTTTTGAACATGAACTTGAACGCGTTCGATTTTTTTAGAAATGTTTACAGCACTAAAAATAAATCAGTTTTGATATAATTTTTTCATAAAATTTTATTTTTGTTAAAGAGGGCACATTTTATATCGGATCGGCAAATTTTATAATATAGGTCGAGAAACAATATTTTAAAATGGGAAAAATATCGGCCCGAGCGTTAAAAAATATCGGTACATTCCTATTTTAAAATATATAGCTTAGTGAGGGATTAAAAAATGCAATTAAATTTTTTAAGAGATTTATCTTCAATTATTGAAAAAGCTAAGTTATTTTAAATAAAAAATTCAAGAATTAATAATATTTTAATTAATAAATTATAAGATGCAGAATCCATCCACATCAAAGATAAAAATAGCAAGCTGTTGATGAATTAGTTTTTAATTTTGTAATTGAAGAATTACAACTATTTTCAATTGTAGAAAACACTGAATTTATTAATATTAACAAAAACTTGCAGCCATCTAAAAATGTGATGTCTAGGCCTACTCTAGTATTAAAAATTAACAAAGCATATGACATGGCAAAGAGATTAGGGAATTTATTATGTATCACAAAAATTGTCTGATAATTGTGGATTCTTGGTCAGCTTATCATCAGCATATAAAATATATATTTTATAGATAAATAATATTGTCTTTAAAAAAGTTCTTCCAAGAGGTTTTTAGCTTGCTTAGTTTGTAAAAGGCTAAACCAAAAACACAGATTTGATTATCTAGCAAAATTAATCTTTAAAATGTTTACCACACATAAGATATAAAGTGACCAAATGCATTACCGATAATGCTAGAAATTATAAAAAGCTTTCAAGTAAAAAAATTATAATATATTTATAAAAATTTAATAGAGTATATGAACAAGGAGAGGAATCGGATGATGAAATAGTTTCTCTGCCATTATTTCATCTATTTGAAAATCAAAATACTAATGATGTATTGTATACTTACCTAAGCATCATTCCTGTTCAGCACACACCTCTTATATCTCAATGCAAGTGTTGATATAGAAAAAAGAGGTAACGATGTCCATTTAAAAACCATTTCAAAATTTTTTCTAAGTGTAAGCTATTGTGGAATAAACATGGACAATATTCAAACTGTGCAGCCAGTTTTAAGGAAGATATCTAATTAAACCTGTTATGACAAGATGCAACTGTTTTTATAACTCCGTGAATGGATTGTCTTATTAAGGAGAATTGCCAAAAATTTGACAAATCTTGTGATAAATCTGAATTACAGAGATTTTCAGATAACGACAAGTGGTTATTGGGTGAATATTGTATGATTAGTGTTAATTAAGAAGTAGATATAATATGATTTTGCAGGTTATGGAACCGATTGTTATGGCTCTTTCAATTTTAGAGAGCTAGGAAAAAATTAATTTGGGATATCTCACTTCCACGATAAATATTATAATATTAACATTTAAAATAATGGCTTTAAATAATTTCAAGTTCTGTAAGCCACTTATTATCCTGGAAGGCATAGATAAAAGGTATACAGTCAGTAGCGTAGAGATAGGGAGGGGCGGGTTTGGGGGTTGAAACCCCCCCCCCCCATAACCTCCGAAAACATTTTTTTTAAATTATTTTCTTATTGCTAATAATCTTATTTAAAAAATGGTTTCAATTTATAAACAAAATTATATACGATATGAAAATGAAATATATTTAAAAAAACAAATAAGAATTTTCAATTTTAAATGACAACATAGTTTAAAAATATATATTAAAAAATATATGTAAAATAAATAACAATAAAAATATATTGTAAATTTTTTCTCGCATAGTTAAATTAGATATTTATAAATTTAATAATAAAATTTATATTGTACTAATTAGATAGTTTTAAAAATTAAATTTATTTTACAAAAAGATCTTATATTATTATATATTCTTTTTGTATAGTTTTATTTATATTAAATATTGTAGGTTAAAAATAATTTTTTTTTATATTAATTTTTTAAGTAATGAGTAATCCGTTACTTTTTTGAATAGACAGTAAAGCATGTTCCTTTTTTAAAAAGGTAACGAGTAACGGTAACGCGTTTCTTTTTTCAGACATAACGCTTACTAGATAAAATAAATTCAATAATGAGAAAAAATTTTTATTTTTTTATTTTAAATGAAATTAGAATACACTGTGAAATTCTTATATTTAATATAAAATTATAATTATTTTGATATCTTCGTTGAGACAAATATATTTTTATTAGCTAATTAGATTGATAAATGTTTAAATATGTCAGAGACCTATGGGCCAGGCAGTATTATAATTTTTTTAAATATACCAGGGTCGGCCCTAAAAAAAATTTTTTTAAAAAAAATACCCAGGCCATATATTTGAAATCGCCATTTTGCTATATCTATATGTAATATATATTAAAAAAATATTAGGCGGGTAAATTTATTTTTAAAAAATCCGAGTCGGGTTTAAAAATAAAAAACCCAGGACGTGCCGAATATTTTTAAAAAAAATACCGGGCCGGTCCGTGCAGAAGACACCTCTGCAGGTCTCCGAAATATATATTAGTTAAAAATATTTAATCATAAATGAAATTTTAGAATTAATTGTATTTGGCCAGGTTAAATATACCTTCCTTGCCAACCTTGATTTTTAGAGTGTTAATTTTTTGATATATTACCCATATCCGTATCCTTTAAAATGGTTTGATGCCTCAATCAAGTCATTCATTTCTTTAGTATTTATGTTCCAAATTTTGAGTGAATGATCCATACCTGAGGATAAAATCAAGCTCCCATCGTGATTAAAGTCCTAAATACAACATTATTTTTTGATACAATATTAAATAAATCATTATATTTAAATATTGAAGATCAAAAGACAGGTCCTTAAAATGGATCTTAGGTCCGGACCATAAAAATTTAAATATAAATTATATTTTAAACTTCAATGATAGTTGTTTAGCAATGATTGAGTATATAAAATAAAAAATAATTCTGTTAGAAGATATAATAAATAAAGCATTGCATTGTGAGCATTAATTATTATTTTTCCAAGGAAAGAAATGCAACAAAATATTTTCGTTATAATTTTGATAATGATTCATTTTTAAAAAAATATGTCAAAGGAATAAAACAATTTTTTTTAACAGCCTGCCTATTTTTTTATTTAAACATTTTGAACCCGCTCGTCCAAGTTAAATTGACCTGGGTGGGTTAAATGTTGCTCATTACATACTTCATTTTTACCCTCCTCCCCCTCTCCTTACAAAAAAATCTCATACTTTGGTCATTATATTCTTACAGTCAATAAATAAAATTTCTTAGGATTCTATTTATAAATATTATCTTATGATATATAATTGATATTTATAGGCGTTCTATAATGAATTTCGAATAAGAGATGAAAAATAATTATTGTTCTTTGTTCTTTTAGAATTAATCATGTGATGTTTGGTATATAATAAAATATTTTATTGGGTTTTGGAGTGGTATTACATTATACTTATATATATTTAATATTAAATGCAATCATTACATTTTTTAATATTTTTGGAAAACGGAGATGATATTTGGGAAAATTGTGGGGCAATGTAAATGTATTAATATCAGAGTTTCGAACCGTTAAGCATAACGGTTCGGTTCGTTCCAGTTTTTAGTTTAAAATTTTATAAAGGTTTTGTTCCATTTCGGTTTTTTTTAAAAAAATTTATATCGGTTAGGTTCGGTTTATAATTTATAACGGTTCTTTTCGGTTTGTTCCGGTTTTTAAAAATTTGATTTTTAAAAAAATTAATCATTAACCATGTATATATTAATTTTAGAGAAAAATCTTTTTAATTTATAATTTCTTATTTAATTTAACCATGATAATCTAATAGATATTTTTATTAAACTTAGTAAATATAAATTAGACAAATTAATTTTTTTTATTTCATAAATAAATAAGATAAAAACAAACATGCATAAATACAATGATGAATAAAATAAGGCATAAATATAATAAAATGTATACTATTTATGTTTAAAAAGAGAATTAGAACGGATAACTAAAATATTTTCTAATATTTCAGGATTTAATTTAGTTCTCAGCGCAGAGAGTATAAACTTAAGGCTAGAAAATGCTCTTTCTACGGATACCTGCGTAGCTGGAAGCTAACTTATAAAGTTCTGGCATACTAGTTCTAAATCGCTAAAACAAAAATCGCTAAAAATTGGGAACATGGATTATATCTCCTAGAAAATTTTTAAAGTAAATTTGAAATTAATATTAATAGATACTAGGGGACTAAACACTTGTATTTAAATTGAAAATTTAAAAAAAATCGCTAAAATGGAAGAAATATCATCCAAATTCCCAATTTAAAAATTTTCTAGGAGATATAAGCCATGTTCCCAATTTTTAGCGATTTAGAACGGGAACCATTTCCCAATAATTCAAAAGATTAGTATCTTTTTCTAATCTCTCTAAATTATCAAATGACCGAATTATATATTCTATTTCTATACATTTATTATAATTTTCTAAGCCCTGAGAATTATTCTTATTAAGACTTTCATGCGACTTTAATAAATCTTCAAAATCATCATCTAAATTATCTTTCGAAAGCGAACACGTAGGCGTATTTAGAATTTCAATATTCTGATTATTTAGACTTTGTATCAAGTTCCAAGTTTTACAAAGATGTTCTCTGGCGATCTCTCTTTCTTCATATGTTAAAAATTTTATTTTAATAATAAATAATTTATAATAACTTAAATGAATATTAGAATTCTGAATTTAAAAAAACAATATGATTATAAATAAAAAATTATTATATCATTAAAATATTGCTGACCTTTTATTTATTGTCAATTCTATGATCCAAGTTTTTATAATGAGATAAAAAATAAACTTTATAATATAAAAATAAATGTAAAAAGTTGATTTCTATTAGATGTTAATTATTAATAGTAGAATCATTTAATTTTTTCCTAAATTATTAGCAAGTATTATAATAAAAGCTTATTAATAACTTATATGTTATATATATAAACTTGTTAATTAAGCCAAGAATAATTATGTGTGATTTTAAGATATCTTATCAAATTAACAGATAATTTGCTTAATCTCTAATAAATTAAGTATTTAAAGAAAAAAAAAATAAACTAGTATTAATTGATATATAATGTTGATAATATAAAAATATTTAATTTGAAAAGAAATCACCAATTTAAAAAATGCCTCCAAGGAAAATTAAAATTTAAAATTTAGGTTAATAATTAATTCTTTTTTAAAACCGTTTTGAACGGTTCGGTTCGCTCTTTTTATATTTTCTTTATAACGGTTCAGTTAATGTTACGGTTCAGAAAATCATAACGGTTCATTCCGGTTTGGGGGTTCGGTTCGAAACCCTGAGATCATGGAATATTAGAAATTATATAAAAAAAAATTTGAAAACAAAATTATATTTGTATGAAAAAAATTATAAATAATAAAGTAGAGAAAAATTGGAATAGATGAAAAGGAAGATAGGAAAAAAGAGAAATTTAAATACCATAGGTTTTGAAAAGATAAATAATGTATTAATTTAAATAAGAAAATATTAACATAAAATTAAATTATATTGTCGTAATTTTTAAAGGGATCAGAACTATCGGGGATCAAGACGGGTTTTAAAGCTTTAAGAATTCAATTTTTTAAAGGATAAAGAACTATATGGTATTATCACGTTTGAACCATGGTATAGAAGAATCTTAATTTAAAAGGCGTTTTGCTTTATTTTTTTAAAACTAATTGTTATTATTTATTTTCAATGTTGTTTTTTTGGCCTTATGAAATAAGATATATCTAATATAGGGTATCAATCTATAGTTAATCAAAAGATATATTCAACTGGAGATCCATCTCTCCCCCTTAATGAGTCTAAGTCTGGAAGGGAGGGGGGTCAGAAATATTTTTATCAAAATAAAATATCGATATGGGTATCAAATAATTGCTAATTTTAATATCTTTTGACTGAAAATCTTTATTCTTGGTCTTGATGGGTATGACTTGGTTTGGAGGGTGAATGGAGGAGGGGGATGTTGTAAAAAATAATTTTTTCTGATATGGGTATCAAATAAAAGGTAATTAAAATATTTTTTATTGTAATAATAATAATCACTCATAGAGGGCGGATCTAGGTCATGGGGGGTCAGGAATTTTTATCAACACAAAATATAGATAAATAAAAGTTTTAAATATCTTTAGATTGAAAGTATTCATTTTTTGTATGGGTGTGACTTGGTCTGGATGGATGGAGGGGTAGGTGTAAAAGATAATTTTTTTTTGATATGGGTATCAAATAAAAGGTAATTAAAATATTTTTTTGTAATAATAATAATTACTCATAGAGGGCGAGTCTAGATCTTGGGGGTGGGGGGGTCAGGAATATTTGAGTGATTAATATTATTTCAATAAAAAAATATTTTAATTACCTTTTATTTGATACCCTCATAAAAATTTTTTTACCCCCCCCCTCCCAGACCAAGTCATGCCCATCAAGACCAAGAATGAAGACTTTCAGTCAATTAGCTATTATTTGATACCCATATCGATATTTTATTTTGATAATAATATTCCTGACCCCCCCCGACCTAGACTCGTCCATTAAGGAGGAAAGATTACCTCCAGTTGAATAGATCTTTTGATTAGCTATCGATTGATACCCTATATTAGACATATCTTATTTCATAAGGCCAAAACAACATTGAAAATTAATAAATAACAATAAAATTAAAAAGAAATAAAACGAAACGCGCGTAAAACGCTTTTAAAATAAAATTCCTCTTTATCACGATTAAAACGTGATAATACCTTATTATCATTCCTTAACTTAAAACCATAATTTTTTAGTTATTCCTTTAAAATCCGTGATGATCCCGGATAGTTCTGATCCCTTTAAAAATTACGACATACACTATGGGCCATAAATGACTGTCCACCCTGCATTTTTACATAAAAAAATTATTAACTTAAAACTTTTTAACTTATTTGGGTAAAAGCGAATTGATAAATTAATTTAAGATGTCTAGACATGTTTAGAAATAAAAAACTCGGAATTTCTATAAATCTTTCTATGAAATTTTAACCTTTGAAAATAACATGTTAAAAATGACCAATTTGGTAAAATAGGGTTCATTAGTTTTTTTCAGCAACAATTTTAAGTTGCCCATTGTTTTTCGGAAGAAAGTCATTAATCACTAATCTGCTTATTAATACCTATTTTTAATTATTTTAAAAATAATTCCTAGATTTTTTTTTTGTTTTAAATCATTGTTTAAATAAACTTTCAGTCTTTAAATATTTTAACGAACATTCGACCAAAATGATTAAAAGAAGAGAAATTTCTATTCCAACTAAATGCAAAATAATTAATTTACACATAAGTGGTAAAAGTAATCGCCGAATTGCCAGAGAATTAACTCTAGCTCGACGAACAGTCGATTGTATACTTAAAAGATTACGCAACAATAATACAATATCGAATCCAAAGAGGCCTGGAAGACTCCGCAAAACAACTTTAAGCGATGATAGGTATATAGCAAGGATCAGTAAACGCAATCGACGCCTTGTCGCCTCAAAGATAGCTGCGGAGATTAATCTGGCTCGGGAAAACCCGATAAGTGTCACAACTGTGAAAAGGTGCCTTAGGAGCTTTGAACTTTATGGTAGGGTAGCGGTCAAATAACCAATCTTGAGCAAAAAAAATATACTCAAGCGATTAGACTGGGCACGAAAACATTAATTTTGGATATCTGCCAACTGGTACCACGTCTTAAGGAGTGATGAGTCAAAATTCGAAATCTTCTGTTTTAAAAGAAGGCAATATATCGGCCGTTCAGCTGGAGAGCGAATGAACGATCACTGCGTAATTCCTACAGTCAAGTTCGGGGGTAGATCAGTTATGGTGTGGGGGTACTTTGATGCCGGGGCAGCTGCCGACATTGTCAAAATTAAGGGAATTCTTAACAAGGAGGGAAACCGTCAAATCCTTGAGGACCATGTGATTTCATCAGGAAAGTGTTTGATATGGAGTAACTTTTTATTTCAACAAGATAATGACCCAAAGCATACATCCAGGCTATGCAAAGATTATTTACAAAATCTACAACAGCATGGTTTTCTCGAGTTGATGACTTGGCCATCCCCAGTCTCCCGATCTCAATCCAATCGAACTTTTAAGGATCACCTTGATCGACAAGCGCGAAAAAGCCCACTAACTCATTCGCACCTTTAGGAAGTATTGCAGAGAGAATGGAATAATATCACTTCCGAATATTTAAAAAATCTCATCGAAAGAATACCAAAATTTTTGCAGCAATTATTAAAAATAAAGGTGGTCATTTTGATGAGACCAAAATTTGATCTTAATTAATTGCTATGTCTTTTCTTTTTTGTAATTTTATGCAATAATATGTAAACTTATAAATAAATTCGATAAACCTCATATTATGTGTTATTTGTCTTATTTTAGAAAAATTTTAAAAAAATGCAGAGTGGGCAATCATTTATGGCCGGTAGTGTATATAAAGAAAGATTGAAGGTAGGAAGGTGTCGGTTAAGATGTTGTTTTTTATTTAGAAATTTAAATATTATATAGTTTATATATGTTATGTATTATATATATGAATAGTTTATATAGTTGACAGATTTATGAAAGTAAAGTTAATGTTTAATTTAAAAGAAAATTTTAATCCAATTAAAAAAGAAAGAGAGGTTTGGGTTTATTTTAAAAAAAATTCACAAGTTATTTAAAATTGTTAAATATTTAGCAAATAAAGGATAAGATAGAAAGTAAAGTATAGGTTTAAAAAGTTTTCAATTGTCTTAATTGAGTGAATTAAAAATAAGTGTAACATGTGTTTATATGAATTTTTTTTAATGATGTTTAAAAAATTTTTTGTACCATTGGATATGGTATGGGTAAAATATTTTGATTTTAATTTTTAAACCCAGTGTTACCTTTAAACTCATTACTCATTGAATGTCGTTATAGGTATTCCGTCATAGAAAAATTAGACTTCAAGATATGCAGGACAGAAAAGATTGCTTAATATTTAAATTTTGGATTATAATTGACATGAATAATTTTTTTTTGAAATATACCATAAAAAGGAATATGATAATATTGATATTTTTATAAAAAATGGTGAAAAGAAAATTATACATTTGAATTATGTAAATAATGATAAATGAAGAAAATAAAGAAATTGGGTGATTAGGATGGATTGATAATCAAGAATGTGTCATAAATAGTTCAAGTTTTTAAATAGAAAAATAATGTGTAAAGGTAAATTGATAATATTTTTGATTTTATATATATAAATGTGGGTTTATGTAAAAGATAATAATAGAGGGAGTCATTATATAATATTAGAATATTTTTATGTTTAAAATTTTGATTCAAGGTTTATATATACATGCGTAATATTGTATATATATTCTTGATTTTATGAATATAAATGTGGATTTATAATAATGGAGAGAGCCATTAAATAATATTAGAATATTTTTATGTGTTAAATTTTGAAAGTTATATAAATGAAAAGAAAAAAATGGGCTATTTGATATTTTAGATCAAGGGAAAGTAGTGTAGTTCATCATAAAATAAAATTTTGTTAATTGGGATCAGAAAATTTTGTGTTTAATATTTGAAATTTAGGATTATGATTGATAGAGAGGAAATATATTTGGGATAATGTAAAAGGATTGAATAATGTACATTTTGGATGTAATTAATAAAATTTTGTTAATTGGAATCAGAAATTTTGTTTAATATTTGAAATCTAGGATTATGATTGATAGGGAAGAAATATATCTGGGATAATGTAAAAGGAATGAATAATTACATTTTGGATGTAATTTTAAAAAAAAATTTGACATACTTTGTGTAATATTCTGTGTAATCAACTCAATGAACTACAATGATGCAATGGATCTATGACACATTAACTAATTAACTATTTTATGATAATCAACAGTAATTTTCTGCCCAATCAACTATAATGATTCTGTCCAATAAATTAAAATGATGCTGGATAAAGGATTCCAAGCTTAAAATAGAATGATCATGATTGACCAATGAGGCAATGGATAAATCAAGCTATGACTCATTAACTATAAAGATATAATAATAATCAACACCGCAAATGACAACTATTATGTATGGTCAAGAAAAAATGGGTTGACAGCTCAATGAAAATTATGTATGGTCAAAGAAAAAATATAGAAGTTCCTGAAACAAAAAGAATAAAATTGAATGAAAATAAATAATAATAATTTTTATCTTTCTTTTTGATCATTATTTTATTAATTTCTCAAGTTATAAACGTTCTTCAATGAATTTTGAATAAGAGATGAAAAACAATTATTGTTCTTTTAGAATTAATCATGTGATGTTTGGTATGTAATAAAATATTTTATCGGGTTTTGGAGTAGTATCACATTATACTTATATATATATATATAATATTAAACGCAATTAATATATTTTTATGTTTTAGGAAATTATCCAAATTAATTGAGCCATTATAACCTCTTCCAGGGTTACTATTATTCAAATATTGATTGGCAGGCTTCAACATTTTCCTCATAAAAATAGAACAAACATATCAAATTAATTGATCATACTCACATTTTAAAAAAAAATTATTTCAGGGACGAGAACCCTCCTTCTAAAAAAATGGGTTCGGGTTTGGGTTCATTGAAAAATCTTTGAACCTAGTTCGGGTTCTCATGTTTAAATTTTCCATAGTTGTTAATCGCTATTAAAAGTTGCGCGCTATCGCTATTTATCAAAAAAATTAGCGCGCTATTAGCTACTATTTTTAAAAGTAACTTTAGCTACTTTTTATAAAAAAAATTTAGAAACAAATTAGTTTTATTTTTTGCTTATAATGTTATTGTATAGTAAATATATAAAAATCAACATTTATAAATATTAAAATTAGTTTTGATTATAAAAAAATTTATGTAATTAAAATATATATTTATGGTATATAGGTTTTTACCTTATGTTATGAGTCCAACTATTTGCCTAGGTACATATACATGATATCTGGATATCTGATAACTCTACTATTAGAGCATCTTTCATCACTTTAAAGTTATCTGCTATTTTATTCATTAGTGTCCGGCGACATAAAATTGTTTTAACAGTGGATAGATTTTTAATCATCATGGTAAATGATGGATTATCAACCAAGGACATTGGCTGAACTATATCAATTATAATCAACAATAACTATCAGCCAATTTCTGAGAAATATTGGCATTTGTATTAATTAATTAGTGAATTGAATTAGTCTCTTTGGATGTAGAGCCGACTATACCAAAATTATTTAGATGTTTCTCCATTTCCTTAATACTATTGGCATGAAGTCTTATAAAATAAATACTATTAGAATGTAAAAATGACAATTTACCTTTAGGTGTTTCTTGAGGTTATAACTGGATTGAGTTAAAAAAAAATTTTTTTTCATTTTAAACAAATAAATTTGAAGCTAATTTTTGTTTTTATATTTATTATAAATAATTTTTCAAATCTAGGGAATGGGAAATTTGTATTATAGCTATTAAGAACATTTTCTTCCATGGTATCTTCCATTTCATTAATATCATTGTCTGAATCACTTTCAACGATTTGGATATCCATAGGCAATGACATTTTAAATTATTAACAAGTGATTTAGGTTTATAATACAAATAAAAATATATTTCAATTTTAAAATTAAATATAATAAAAATTATAATTAATTATAATATCATATTTAAATTTTCATGTTTATACTTACCTTCATTATATTTTTTGAGCGCTACTTTGCTACTTTCAAAAAATGTAACGCGCTAAAAAAATTAAATAATTACAAAAAAAGTAGCCGCTATTTAGCTATGGTAAATGATCATTTTAAAATTTTCAAAATAACGATAAAAATAGGAGTATTGAAATTTATTTATTATTATTTAATAAGGTTCTCGAATTGAGTGCGGACCCTGTATATAAGTATTGATAAATATTGTATCTGTCTACGGACACATTTTTAAAATGGTTCTGCATCTAGATACGTTTTAAACGATGTATCGGTATCTAGATCCATTTAAAATGTATCTTTTAACAACTCTGGTGAAAAGATATAAAAATTATTTATAAATTATTAGTTCGCTTCTCGTTAACTTCCCAATGAAACTAGTAATTATGGCCAAAATTATTTCATATGAATAAATTTTAAAAACAATAAGTGCCTCATATCCCTGATATTTATAAATAAAAATATTCTTTACAGAGCTTATAACTTCATCTCGATGTCCATCAACTCCAGAAAAGATAGAAATTAATGTTTTTGTTCTGATATTCCAAAGTCGTAATGAGTGATCTGAATATTTAACAAAAATATTTTACCGTATTACTTTTAAAAAAATTAATTGGAATTCAAAATAAAATTATAATAAATTTTTGTGATTTCGTCAAACTTATATTATAGTTAAGAAATACCTTTACAAGACTGAATCCCAATAATTTCGATAACATAATCCACCAATAGTTATAGGAGCAGGATTTTAGGCGCTAATTATACCATTTTAAAATCGGCAGAATAATTAAAAAATCTAATTCTATATGTCCAAAACCATTTTAAAAAAATTCAAAAAGTTTCAAAACTTTAGCAAATTTTAAATTTAAATGAAACAGTATATTAAATTCTTGAAATTTATTAAAAATTTAGAATAATTATTTTGGACATGTTTTTATTTTTATATTTAAAATTACTTATTTATTTATTTTCATTAAAGTTTCGAAAGTTTCATTTAATTTTTTGATTCTATGGGCGCCCTATCAAAATTAAAAAATATTTACTAAAGGCGCGGAGGAAAAAAATAACCAAAGGTCATTTTAACTTCCATTCCCATTTGACATATAAAAAGGTATTAAAAATGTTTTGGATGTAATAAAATTATCACTCTAAGTAGGCGTTCTAAGATTTGTTGGGATGGAGAGGGGGGGGCAGAAATATATATATAAACATAATTATCGATATGGGTATAAATAAAAAATTAACTAAATTTTGTCTGATATAATAGTGTTGTATCTATCAATGCAAATGACAGATATAGACGATAAAATATTTTCGATAAAAAGAATAATATCATATTATTATTTATATTTATAGATTTTATTTTAATCAAGTGATTTTCCTCTTTGTGAGAAGGTTATATTAATTTATATATACTTTTTTAATGTGAATACAATTGATTTTTTTGGAGTTTCAATGATTTTTATATAAGGGTAATTACTATATTTTTAACCGGCTAAACCAAATTTTAAGCCGAAGACTATAACTTGGGCCTCTTAAAAGTATCAGCTCAAATTTGAAAGAAACGAATATAAATCATAACGCTTTAATGTTAAAGGATTTTATCCTGCACGAGTTGTAGATTGAGCCAAATTAGCAGACATTTATTACCCAACTATTGTGGGAATATATTATATGATTAAAAATCTAATAATGAATGTTGTTCAAAATCTATTATTATTTGACAGCGTGTATATATAAATATCACAATTAAATATTTCTTTCACAGTTAATTGATTTATATTAACAACCTAGCTATTTGAAAATTTCATATTCCTAATTAAACAATTAAAAGATTTTGTTAAAATTGTTTTGCCTGTAGTGTTGTAAAATCAGATAAATCCTAAAGTTACAAAAATTCTATTTATTAAGATTGAACTATACTAAAAGGTTAAGCGACAGTTTAGGCTAAAATGATGGTCGCTTAAAAATTATATTTAGCCTTTTTAGATTTGGCTCAAAATCTTTTTATTTGCCACTACTTGTCGGTGAACCAACTTGTAAAAAAATTAAGTTTATTGCTTTCTCGCTATAAAAATAATATTTGATTGTACAAAAATTTTAATTTTTATAACAATAATAAGGAAAAAGGGAATTAAAATTTAACATTGTTGAAAAATATTAAAAATTTTATATTTTGAGGAGGGGGCTCCTCCACAAAATTTGAAAAAGGGGTTAAATCAGAAAAAATTAGCGCAATACATTCCTGAATCAGAGATGTGCCCAAATTTTCATATACAATTTTAATTATCAAAAAATCCACATAGAAATAAATCGTGGAATATATAAAACGCTTCACAGTCAATATTAATAGGTTTTAATTTTTTTTATTTTAAATACCTTTTTTTTAAACATTTATTTAATTAACGTAATACCTTTACTAGCGGATAATAAGACATAGGGCTGTGCCGATATTAAATATCATATCGGCACCGATATTTAGCTTTTTCCAAAGATATCGGATAGGGTCGATACCTGTAAAAACCGATCCGATCTTTTTATTTTTCCTTATTTGTTAATTTATGTTATGTTTATTTATCTTACTTTATTATAATATTTTTTAAGTTATATTCTGTAGAAATAAAAAAATTAAATTAAATGCATAATTCGATTTTTTGCATAAAAAAATATTGATTTCTTAATTACATTCGGTTTAAAAGGGGTTTGGTGAAAAATCAGTATAAATATCGGATCGGTATCAGATGGGGTTTGAATCAATATCGGAAAATATCTGATCGGATTGGTGAAAAATTTGTGGATCGGCACAGTCCTAGTCGTAATACATTCCTGAATCAGAGATGTGCCCAAATTTTCATATTATACAATTTTAAATCAAAAAATCCACATAGAAATAGATCGTGGAATATATAGAACGCTCAACCGTCAATATTAATAGGTTTTAATTTTTTTCATTTTAAATACCTTTTTTTAAACATTTATTAAATTAACGTAATACCTTTACTAGCGGATAATAAGATATTAGGCATGTGTGGATGTATTTTCAGATCATTGATTGAGTAACCATGTCCTAATAAGTGCTAATATTATAAATACATCATTAAAAGATTTTCTGTTTTATCTCATCCTTCACAATTTAAAACTGTTTTAAAATAACTTATCACTTATAAAAATATGCCAACCAATTTGGCACCTATCATATAATATAAGGTCCTCTGCCAGAATGTAGGGGAAAGCTTAGTTGTTTGACCCCCCCCCCCAGTGAGGTTTTTTATAATATATTTAACTTTTAAACATCTTAAAATCGCTTATTAAATATTTTATGGAACCTCATGGCTTTATATTCTATTTTAAAACATTCCCGTTTTGCTTTTGCGAACAAAATCCCGCAAATTTAATTGCTTGCCATGACGAAGGCTTATCATTTATAAGCTTTCATTCATGTAATATTATATATATATTAATTAACCCTGCCCTTAAAAAATTCCTGGATCAGCGCCTGCCAAGGCTATAACTAGGGCTGTGCCGATCCACATATTTTTCACCGATCCGATCCGATATTGGTTCAAAACCGATCCGATACCGATACGATATTTATATTAATTTTTCACCACCCCTCTTTGAACCAAATGTAATTAATAAATCAATATTTTATATACATAATTTAATTTTTTTATTTCAACAATAATTTTAAAAAAAATATATAATAATATATCCATTTTATGTTGGTTTATAAAATTGTAATATTTAATATATAAAATTATAATATATTAGATTTTTTAAAATAAATATAAGAGCCTCTAGATTTTCAGGCGATAGGCTTCTACGATGAGGACTATCAATATCCCCTGCCGTACTGAAGGCAGACTCAGATAGACACTTGTTGCTGGAGGAGCCAAAAATTTACTTGCAAGTGTTGATAAAGTTGGATATTTTACAGCATTAACTCTCCAATATTCAAGTGGATTCACTGGGGATATAATATCAATATCATCAATGTTATTCGAGTTTTCTAAATAAATAACACAAATATAAAATTAGCATTTATAAAATCGTGGGTTTCATACAAACCCAATCTTTTGTTGATTTTGAAAAATCACCCAAAGAAATGGGTCAATCATAGCCCAACCAAGCAATATTTAAATTAATATGAAAAATATGTTGTTATACTTTCTATATATAGATTCTTTTAAATATTCCTTGATTTCTATTAGGTATGGCAGGTCATCATTTACATTACTATCGATTTCATTTATTACTAGTTTTTCTTTGATTTTCAATTTATAAGCATCCCTTAAATTAAATTTGCATTTTTTAATGTTATGTGGAACATTTTCTCATTGTCATTACCTAAGTTAACAATAAAATCTAAATTTATTTTAAAAAATATAAAACCTGGCGAATCTTTATTAGAAATTGGAAGTTGAACATTATCATCACCTTTAAAAAAAGACTCACATGCAGTCCTGAGCTTTTCTATGTATGATATGTTTTTTGGCAAAAAGAAATCCTTACATCGAGGATCAAGTAATGTTGCGACAACATAATTGTCATCATCATAAATATCAAAAAACCAAGTTGTTAATTGATTATTAGTGGTATTCTTCATAGTCTGCACACCTCTATCTGTGTCCCCATTAATTGTTAATTCACTTTTCAGAATTTCAACAAAGGGTATAACATTGCTAATTGAACATGATTCCGTACTTATTTCTTTTGTTACTCTCTGAATTGGTTCAAGAACATCAATTACCCTTTCTGCTAATTCCCACTCATATAATGAGAGATTTCCCAAATTAGGATTATCGATAATGAACAGCTGTACCGCCCTTTTTTGTTCTATCAATCTTTCGAGCATATAATAGGTAGAATCCAAACGGGTGGGCACATCCTGGATTAATTTGTGCTGGGCTAGACTTAATCGAATTTGAATTTCTTTTAGACAATTTTGTGCAATAGAAGAATGTTTAAAGTGCCCTACTATTTTTCTAACCCGGGCAAGCATGTCAATAATAGATCTCTGTGATAAAATTGCTGCCTGTGCAACCAATTGCAAACTATGTGCAAAACACGAAACGCTTTGAAATTTCCCATTTTTCATGGCCAAATTTATATTGGGTGCATTATCTCTAATGATTAGGTGTATTTTATTTTTCTTTATACCCCAATAATTATTTCATCTTAAATTTAAGCAATATTTATTGCTGTATGCGACTCATTAAATGTTTTAACATTTAGAACTCTATTAATTTGTTGAAAATTTTGGTTTATATAGTGGCATGTTAATGAGATGTGAGAATCGCAACCTGAATTTCTAGTCCATATATCTACCGTAAAGGATAAAAAAGAATCGTCAACCAAAATTTCTTTACGAATTTTTTCGGAGAGTATTTCATATATATCCGGAATAACTCCTTGCGAAAAATACTTTCTATTGGGAATTTTGTAATTTGGACATAAATGATGTAAAAGCCTTTTAAAGCCTATATCCTCCAAGATAGAAATCGGCTGGTGATCACACGCTATCATTTCCCCTATAAATTTAGAAATTATTATTGATTTAGGATCAGAATGTTTCCAAATATTAGTTTTATTAAGAATGGCTGATATTGTTGGCTGACTTTCAGGGCTCTTTTTTTTAAATTTGATTTGTTTTTTCTAATATTTCTCGTTCTTTTTGTGTTAGCTCTTCGAATTCCTTTTGATGGCAACGCTTCAGATGTTTCCTAATGTTAGTTGTATTGAACGAATTTTTCAGTATTCCTCTAGGTGAAATTAGAATTCCGCAGATGACGCATTTTGCAAAATTACCTTCATCTTTATCAAAATATTTCCATAATTCAGAAACCATATTTAAAATAATTTTTATTTAAAGTATAAATAATAAAATTGGTGTTATTCTTTTAAAAAATTAAAAATAAATAAAACTTTGGGTGTTCCTTTCTATTTTTATAAAAAAACTTGTAAAATCTATTTAAAAAAATAAATAACATTTGCATTGTTTAAAAAAAATTATTTATAAAATATTATTAATGTAAAATAGAAACTCGAAAAAATTTATTTTTTTTTAAAATATTTAAAAAAAAATTTTTTTATTAAAAAATAATAATTCAAAGTTTCATTACTCAAAAGTTTTATAAGAATTGCATTTTTAGAAAAAGGATCGGATCGGGTTTTTTACAGGTATCGGGCCGATCCGATATTTTTGAAAAACGCCAAATATCGGGACCGATCCGATCCGATATTTAATATCGGCACAGCCCTAGCTATAACCAATAATCTTCAGAATCTAAAAATGGTATGATTTTAAAAAGCTGAGAGGTTTAAGAATACAATAAATTATAAACCAAGATCGGATCCAAATTAATTTTTTTTAAACCAGGGCTTCATTTATTATAAATCTAAATTATAATTGTAGCATAGCAGCTATTAGAAATTGACACAAAATAATGTAAATAAAATAATAGATTATAAAAATACAATAATTTTATTAGTTAGAAAAAGAAATATAGTGTTTAAAAAAATTTTTTATACTTTTTGATATTTTATTGACTTTTCACTTTTTTGACTTACATTATTTTTTAAACTCTTGTATTATTTTTAAAATATATTATTGTAATTGAGATTTAAAATGTAGCAATAAATAAATTGAATAAATAAATTTGAATTTAAATAATAATCAATTCAAGTTGGAAGTATCAATCATTTTTAACATTAATTCACAAAAATAGGCATTTATATACAATAAAACTTGTCCAATTTGGTAACCATCATTGGGATCAAGATTTTTGCCCAACTAAAATAGTTTCCTAATTTATCAAGACTTTTTACCTTCTAATAGTTAATAGGAATTTAAATGGGATTTAGAATTTAGGTTTACTTAGGTAGTTGCCTGAATTATCAAGAATCCAAATGAAATAAATTTTAAAGGTCCAATTTGGTAACCGTCATGATGGGATCAAGATTTTTGTAGTGTTGTTAAACGGCTCGATTTGGATTTTTTAAAACGGCTAACTCAATATATTATATCTTATAAGCAAAAATTCAAGTTATTGTTCCATCCATCATCAAAAGAAGTAGAAATATCTGGTTCACCAGTCGTTTTTGACAGGTTAGATATTAGTCATTTATAATTATTAAAAAATATTTTTATCGTCATTATTTTCTGTATTTGAAAATTTCGCTCGTAAAAATAAGAATGATAAGCCAAAAAAGTATTTTTTTAGAAATGACCATTATGTACATTTTAGGGGTTAATGAATATTGATTGTCCTTGTAAATTTCAGGATTATATATCAAAAAATCATTATGCGTAAAATTATATAAAAATTTAATAAATCCGTGATTACACCTCCTAAATTGCATTATTTTAAAATGTATAAGGATTATGGTCGGAGATATTCTAGGGAAAACCCTATCGCAAGAAATGGAAACCCCTCCTAAATCTATCCATATATTTGGAAGTTTTTCCGAGCAAGATTGAGGCGTATGATGACAATCTTCGGACACTTCAAAAAAGGCACTTGTCTGATAAATCAAGTATCATGCTGCCATGAATGATTTGATTATTAGTGCCAGGATAATCAGATTCGTATTGTCGGATTGGTAATCGGCAGATATAAATTTAATATTAACAATATTGGATTGGGTCGGTCTTCAAAAGATGGTATCGATAATAGAGATTTATTAAACCGGCCCGCGGGGTAAAAAATAAAATAGGCTAAGCAATTCGTAATCGTTCCTCTACTAGGTCGTATTCAGAGTTTAAGATAATGTCTTCCAAATGTTTCAAAACATTAATTAGATTTTTTATTAAATCAAGATATGCTTTCGAGCATAATTAATATACGTCATCTGATTGGGGATTTAATTTTAATGTTCTCAATTGAGTGCTCTAGTATTAGGGTATAAATGTGCTTTCAAGATCTAGCATATCCTAATTAGATCTTTTAGATTTAGACATTTTCTCTGGTGACATACAATTACAACAGTGATGTTGACCAATCATTAGATTAAAAACATATAAAATATGGAAATTTTTTTTTAAAATTTATACGTCGACGTGCGCACATAAACGCTA